TATCGAGCATTCAGGAGAGTATTAATATAATTATATAATATAATTTAATTAATACTAGTTGTGTACCCGCGCAATGCGGCGGAAGCCATGAATTTTAACGATTTTGAAGTTCCACTGATTTTATACAATAATGAGTTGTACTAAAAGCAACTCTATTTACAAATAATACATGAAATTTATATTTAAAAAATATGTCATATTAATAGACCTCGACATTTATCATGAGACGCATTCACAAGTGCATATAGCTTATAAATACAATACCTTATTCACATATGCATGAAACTCAAAAATTGGAAGACGGTGAATACAGCAACTTATTTACATATACATGCAAACCAGTGGATCCCCGGTATACTCAAACGGGGACGGCCGGGAGATGTTACTCAAACCGGGGCCGGGGTCGGAGCCGGGGATCCCCGGTATAATCAAACTAAATACTTTTTACCGGGTTTTGACCGGGGATTGACCGGGGTTTACCGAGTTTTGACCGGGGATTGCTAGAATTTGACCGGGGACGGGATGATAATCTCTGTACCCGCCGGGGACCGGGGCCGGGGGACGGTATTACAAACCGGGGTCGGGGATTACAAAACCCGCCCCATCCCCGCCCCGTTGCCATGCCTAGTGGTGGATTCAAGGAAGCCGTACGAGGATTGGAACAAGTTGTTGTCATGGAAGATGTTGGTCACTTCATCAACCAAGAGAAGCCACAACAGATCAACCACCACATTTACGACTTCATTTCCATGTTTTAAATGCAATCATCTTTTTCCTCAACCTAAACACATGATGCCATCATGTATCCTATCCCAATCAATTGCAAATAATAACTTTTAAAACGTGTTTTCTTCAGAATTTTCTATTACTTTCAATCAAATTCATTCCCTCTGTGTGTGTATATATATATATATATATATATAACACAAATATCATCCCTACTTTCTACTAAACATGGCAACTCAAATCAAGTACTAAGCTTGGAAAAACTGAACATAAAAACATCAATATCTAAAATCATCCAACAAATCTTTCAACACAATCCAGAGTACAAAAGCAAAATTTTTATTGTAGCAAGTAAGCAAACAACAGCTAAAGGTTTGATAGAGAACATGATATTGGGAATCTGGGAGTCAAATCTTCGGAAATGATTCATGGAGGACCATTTTAGTTTCTAAATCCCCTGTTGTTTCTTCTACCTCTAGCCTTCTCATATTTCCTTCCCTTTGATCTCACGTAGGGCTTGGTGTGGCTGTGTGGCACACTAGGAGCCTTACCAAAGTGCCTAACTGCTTCACGGCAATTCTTTGGTCCTCTAAGAAGAACCTAAAACAACCAACCAACCCATATCAGGAACTACTCTGTTTATCTACTAAAAAACTTTCTTACAATATTAACCAAAAAATATTGAGAATGATGCTTAAGACTTCAGTGAGAAAAGAATGTGTTGGCATCGAACAATATAGGTAAATGCAAAAAGATAAAATGTATATAGCTATGCGAGGGGGTAGCCAGTATGCAGCAACCCATAAATAATCTGTCAGAAATAAAGAAATCGGTTGAACCAGTGGAATATATAACAAGCTTGGAGGACCAACTTTCACCTTTGTTTTGGCCGGTGGAGCTACAACAGCAGCAGTTGAATCAACCTAACCAAAATCAAAACAAAATAGATTCATCAAACATAAATACTTCTACATACAGAGGCACRCGTATATACAGAACAGAAAGAAACTTCATCTTGAATAATATCAATGACTGTACTTTGGAGGCAGACTTCTTGGTCGATTTACCCATTTGGAGAATCGAATAGGAACGTAAAAACCCAGAATTCCAAGAAGTGATGAATGAAGAAGATCAAATGCAACTCCCCTATGAAAAATAGGGTTTTAAGAAGCACCAGTGATGAAATCARAGGACCGTTCACAAGTCCCATTGCAAGATGATCTTCCTACCCCAATTTTGCAGGTTTTGATCTTTTGTTTTTGGTTGTTTCATGTCAAAGTTAGCAACTTTGGTTACTGCCTATTCTACAGAACTTCTTAGAGCTCTATATGCATTACAGSAGCARCAGGTTCTTTTTGTACARATTAGTTCAACAAGAGCAGGCAAGTGATAATCATAATATTAAATGTCAAAACATAAAACAGAAAGTTAATGAACCCAAACAGAAAGTTAACTAAATTTAGGCAACCTGAAAGCAACCTGCGATTTTCTGAAAGCAACCTGCGATTTTGAGGCGATTGAACGTTCGGCCTGATGCCTTGTGCTGCTGCGCARGTAGAGAARCAATAATCTGTTAATGTTATGCAAAACAGTGCAAGATGATCTAGCAAAACCTAAAAACGATTAGAAACCTATACTAAATTTAGGCAACCTGATAGCAACCTGCGATTTTGAGGCGATTGAACGATTCGGTGCAAAACAGTGCAAGATGATCTTCCTACAGCAAAACCTAAAAACGATTAGTGGTGGGAACGACGATTTTGGGCGATTGTGAACGACAATTGAACGATGGACGACTCTTAAAGGAACCATCTTGGGAGCGAATCGTCGTCTTGGGAGGCGATAAGGGGGCAGAGCGTTCTTGGGGGAGGGGAGTCGGGTAAAGTGAAAAGTCATCTTGGGGGAGGGGAGGCGTGTAAAGGGAGGGTAARGGTATTTTGGGTATTATAAAAGTTAAGACTTTAAGACTTTGGACAAATTTATTTAATAAAATAGTATAGATATATGTATATTAAATAATAATAATAATAATAATTAAATATAATATATTATTAAATCGATTTGAGGTTTTATGGATTCTAAAAGAAATTATAATTCTCAAAGATTCAACACTTTTTACTAAAAGGGTGTCATTAACACTTCCTCCAATGTTTTTGGCTTGGTGGATTTACACTCCACCTACTTAGGAATTACATCCCACCAAGCCTACCTTTATCTATAATTATTAATAATTATTAATAATTGTTAATTACTTTTTATTTTTATTATTTTATTTACTTGTAATCATTGATCAATAATTTTTATATTTTATATTTTAATTGTTATTATTAAAATTAGACCATTTATCTTTACACATTACTACAAATTCAATTATTCAAATTTTAAAATATAAGTTGTTAGTAATAAACAAATCAACAGTTTCAATGCTTCAATTAATTTTCAATCAGATTTCAGATTTAAAATTTTAAATAATAAAATAAGCAAATTAACATATCTTTAATTAATCAAAATTGCTTAAAGATATGTTATATTAAACCTTATTAGTTTGACTATAAATGTTCAATCATCTAAAACAACATAGTCTAATGTATCACTCAAAAGGGTTGGGTTCATGTGAAACCATCCTGTTTTCGTAAGACCATTTTCTAATCATTTAAAAAATTAATCAAACCATAACAAGTATATGTAACAATCACAGATGAAGGGTTTAATAATTTATAACCCTATAAATTATGATAATCGTGAGAATTTTTATTTTAAGGTATTATTTTATATGATTTTTTTTATTTCTTATCTAAGGCTAAACATTTAATATTTTTGCTTAATGTGAATGTGGTTCGTAATGTTAAATTTTTTGTACATATAATTGTTGTGTCACAAACATTGTCAAACAAATACTTATGAAACAAATATTTTATGGATTAAATATATATTAATCAATATTTTAAATTATATTTTTAAATTAAAATAAATTATATAAAATAATACATATTTTAAAATATAAAATATCACATAATAT